GGCACACAGAAGTTTGAAGGGGGCTTAATTACAAAAGCACTGTTTACAAAGGATGATACAGTAACAGGAGCTCAGAGCAACCGAGCTGTTACGGCCCTGGTCCAAGGACACAGACCAGGGAGTGCTCGGTGAGCCCTGGAAGGGGAAAGTCTAGGAGAGGGGACTACCTTGAGAGGAAGGATAACCTCCCGATGAAGGACATAGCCTGCTCGAAGGATCTCTCCAGGAGGGAGTCATGGAATAAATTCCATGGCTTCCCTCCTGTCTCTGCTGGGGCTCCCCGCTGGCTGAGCAGAACAGAAGCCAAAGGGCCCAGGAAGATGCTCATTTAGACCAAACAAGTCAGCCTCCCAGGCCAAGTGGCCAGCGCTCTGGGAGAACAGAGGCCCGCTACCTGGCACGGGCAATCGGTTTCTATTCTTTGCGCCTCCCTTTCCTCATTTGTGACAAGTGGATGCTAATGCCTACCTCGCGGTGTTGGTGAAAGAAAATGCAGTAATATATGCAAAGGCCTGGCTAATCAGTCCGCGACAAATGTTAATTTCTCAGTGTCTGAAAGCATTCTGCAGTCCAATGGTTCGCAACCCAAGATGCACCAGTTACCCTAAAATCTGGTATGAACCTCTCAAACAAATTTTCCAAACAAAAGTGTTTTTCCTAAAAATAACTCCATTTTCAAGCTTCTTTTGTATGACAGATATTATGTCCTTTTAATTTTCCAGGTATTATATCCTTTTAGCCCACAATATTTCCCTAAATGTTACTGCCAACAAGCTGGGACTCTGGCAGAAAAAGCCACCGAGCCTTCCCTGGTCGCTCAGCCAGTGAGTGGCTCTGGCCCTGCGGCCTGTTCCTTCCTCTTTGCTCCACTGTGATCTCTGAGGACATGTGCACAATTAATCGATGAAGTGGGGGATGCTGCAACTCCAAAGCTTGAGAATTTGCCTCCTTTGAAGAGAGGCAAAGGCCCAGGGTCCAGGCCCATGTCTTTCCAGTTGCCCCATATAGCCACAGCAGGCTCCAGAAAGTGCCCCCTGCCCTTCAAGGCACCTCTGTGCCCTCCCTGCCTGAGTTCACTCACCCACCATGGCTGCTACTGCTTGATTTCAGGTCACCCGTCTCCAGCCCCGCCCGGCCAGCCCAACACCAGCAGTGCAGAGAGCCAGCCTGTGGAGCCAGGTGAGGAAATGATCTTTCTGGAGTCCCTGGTCAGCTTTCTAAGACCAAGCACGTGGTGCCCCTGAGTGACAGGAAGGAGAAATGGACTTTTAGGGTAACAGGGAGGCTCCCTGACTTCAGACAACACCTCTCCTTCCTAACCCAGTGGCTGAAGGTCCACATTAGATTCACTTGGAGATCTTAGAACTACTGTCTTTGAGAGGCCACCGATAAAAAGTCACATACACGTGACAAGGTGCTCAGTGAGCATTTTAAGGGGATTAATTGAGAACAAGTTAAAGAAGCCTTGATGGGGTGGGGATGGGTTCCACCAGATGGTTCCTAGATTAACTCAACAGATATTTATAAAGGACCTACTCTGTGTAAAGCTATGTGCTAACACTGAGGGTGCAATGCTGGGCAAAAATGGGAGGGTGATTCCCCAAGGAGGGGCTCTGGGGAAGGGAGAACCACCACACACACCACACTCCTTCAGCCCCATCACCACTTCCACCTCCATCTGTCCCCCAGGGTTCTAGGCTCATGGTGGCACTCCACTGTGGTTAGCACCATCAGAACAGTGAGAATGCATGGCACCCACAATATCAGGGGGGCCTCTGAACCCAGAACTGCCCTTCTTTCACATGAGGGTGCTCTTGAGATGAGGCAAGAGAGGTAGGTTTGTGGAGACTGGACCCCTGGTTCTCTGTCATCCCAGGCCTAATTCACCTTAACCTCTAGAGTCACCCTCAGCCCCTCTTCCCGACTCCAAGGCCTCACAGGGGCTTGGGGATGAACTGGCCCAACCCCTGTGGCCCAGAGTCGGTGGGGTACTGTTCAAAGTCACGTAGCAGGCCAGTGATGGGGCCCCTGCTACCTGCTTGTCCCCACCACATTTCTGACATCGGCAGAGTCTGAATCCACCAGGGGGGTCTCAGATGGTGTCTGGTGCTTCCAGGGGAGCGGCTCGGGGTCCGCCTGGTGAACGGGAGCAGTCGCTGCAGCGGGACAGTGGAGGTTCAGCGAGGACAGTCCTGGGAGCCCTGGTGCGGGGTGCTCTGGGACTCCAGAGCCACCGAGGCCGTGTGCCGCGTGCTGGGCTGCGGCGGGGCAGATGGGGTGCTACCGGTCCAGCCCACTCTGCCACCAGATTGGGCGGTGGGGAATGCCAGCGGGACCCTGAACACAACGTGGGCCTTGTGCAGCAGCACCGATTGGCAGGTCTGCAAGGAGGTGGAGTACCCGTGTCCCAGCAACTGGAGGCCGGCCCAGGTCACCTGTACAGGTACAGTGGTCTGAGCCCCTACTGAGCCCCCCAAGCCTTGCCGGCCTTCAGCCACTGCCCCTCACTCCTGTCCTCAGCCTTGGGCACTGGACCCAAGCCTCACCCTCCTGACTCCCACCCCCACCCACCACCAAGGCAAACACAACTGGCCCCACACCCGAGTCCTGCAATTTACTATCATTTCCAGCCCTGAGCATTTCCTCAGATCTGGCCTGCAGACCTTTCCCCCTCCTAGATCTCCAACTGGCCCACTTGGTCCCCAACCCCACACCATAGGTCCCCAATCCTAACAGAACCTCTAGGCTTTATTTACTGGTCCCATCCCTCATCCCACTCTGGAACTCTGTCTCCTTTATTCCTGTCCCTACCCAGAATGTACATTAATATGCCACGTTCCCAGGGTCCCTTAGCACTCAGGCTCCCCCAGGCCTGGGCCCTGCTCTTCAGGCCCCACCCACCAGAGGTCTAGCCCTACCCACTAGTTTGCACCAGGTTACTAGACCCTCCCACCCACTCCACAACCCTGCCTACAAAGTATCCAGCTTTGCCCCCAGCTGGATAGTCCTGACCAGTCCCCCCACCTCTGCTCACCAAGTCCCCTGCCCTGCAGGGTTCCCCCATTCTGCCCACAGGTTTACAGCCCCTCTCACTGGGTTCACAGCCCCTCCCACAACTATCTGGCCCAGTCTGGACCACCTGGCCGCCCCCTCCCTTCCTCTCCTTCTTCTCTGCCCACATCTACAAATCTCTTCCCCTCCTACCCCCAGAGAACCGTGACCTGCGGTTGGTGGATGGTGGCGGCCCATGTGCTGGCCGAGTGGAGATGCTGGAGCATGGCCAGTGGGGTTCTCTGTGCGATGACACGTGGGACCTGGAGGATGCCCACGTGGTGTGCAAACAACTGAGCTGCGGCTGGGCTATCAAGGCCCTGCCAGGCTTGCACTTTGCCCCAGGCCAAGGACCCATCCACCGGGACCAGGTGAACTGCTCTGGGGCCGAGGCCTATCTGTGGGACTGCCCAGGGCTGCCTGGAGACCTCTACTGTGGCCATAAGGAGGACGCTGGTGTGGTGTGCTCAGGTCAGTTGATGACCTCTCTGAAACTCAGTCCTCCACCAACACTTACTGTAGGCTTACTGGACACCAGGCCTGGAGTTAGTGCTGGAGAGATTGACCCTGTCCTTGTATGGTCACTGTCCAGGAGGGAAGATGAGACCCAGACAAACATAACCCTAAGAAAGAAAGAAAGCCAAGTGAAGTTTAGAGGCAGCAGGCAATCCAGAGCTGGAGGGATAAACCTACCCACCTCTTGGAAGAGGTGACATTAGGGTGAGGCTCTTCCTGAGTGGGAGGTGGTCACCTGGTTCAGTGCAGCAAGGGGAGATGGAGGCAGGGAGGTCCCCAAGGAGCCTGTTGGCAGTCCAGATGAGGCCATGAAGTACTTATCCAGCCAATGCTTCTCTATAATGTGCACAGGAATTGGGGGGAGGTGGGGGGAGGATGTCTCATTAAGTATAGATTCTGATTCAATAGTTCTGGGGCAGAACTTGAGATTCTGCATTTCTAACAAGATTCTGTAACCAAACCCAGGTTTGGCTGCCTGTTGCAATGAAAGCCAAACTTGTGAGACAAGTGTTGATGGGAAGGAAAGAGATTTATTCAAGTGCTGGCAACCTGAGAAGCTGGGGGACTCTTGTCCTAAAGTCCATCTTAATATCTTAGTTCAGGCAGAGGTTTTTATAAGGAGGGAGAGGGAAAGTAGAACAGAGAGATCAGGGGGAGGGGCTGTGGAGGTGCAGGCAGTGTACTTGCTAGTTCCAATATGGATTTCCACGGCCAGCATCCTTGAGTTGGCCATCTGGTTTTGTGAAACCTTTGAGGTCAGGCTGCTCTTTAGGTTCACTCAGGAGCTGAAACTGCTGAACTATAAGGTATACTGAAAAAACTTTTAACATGCAAGCTCTAGTTTTGAGAGAAAAATCAGGATAGAGAAACAAGCTGGGTTTGATATTTACTAAGATTTATATGGGTAGTTTTATATAAATATGGCATATTCATTCCCCACTACAATTCCCAGTGATGACAGAGTTACTGGTCCATGGACCACATTTTGAATAGCAAGGATGTAGGGTACTGCAGCCAGGGCAGATGGGGCAGAGGAGAAGGGGATGTAGGTGCTGGAGGGAAAGCAACAAGTGGAGACTGATTGGCTATGGGGTATTTCAGTTATGGGTCTGGGATGGTGGGGATTTGGGCCCAAAGGACCCTGATCTAATTCTGCCTCCCTCAACCCCTCCCCTACAGAGCACCAGTCCTTGCGCCTAACTGGAGGCACTGACCGCTGTGAGGGGCAGGTGGAGGTACACTTCCGTGGGGTCTGGAACACAGTGTGTGACAGCGAATGGTACACACCAGAAGCCCAGGTGCTCTGCCGGGCCTTGGGCTGTGGGACCATGACCCTAATACCCAAGGGGCTGCCCCACTCCCTGCCTGGCCGGATGTACTACTCATGCAAGGGACATGAGCCAACCCTCTCGAACTGTTCCTGGCGGTACAACAACTCCAACCTCTGCAGCCAATCCAGGGCAGCCAGGGTCCTCTGCTCAGGTACTCCTCTCCCACTCACCCCTTTCCACCCTCACCTCAGATTTGGACCAGGAATTCTACCTGAATCCACAGCCTAAAAACTTGCAGCCCAAGTACCACAGCTTGGACTAGGTCAGGAATGACAAATGCTGGTATTAGAGGTACTATTGTCCCTAACATGCCCAGGCAGATGTTGCTAATTAGCCAGGGCATCTTTTCCACAAATCCTTGACTCAGTCCCAGAATCATGAACCAAATATTTATCGCGCATTATTATATGCTAACAGTGGTTTCTGTGGACTGGAGTTGGCTCAGGAGATGAAACCAACTTGCCATCCCAGGGCTGGTGATCATAGGAAAAATAATATTAAGAGACACTAATAATAATCTCAGTGACAGTGCCTAGAGCCCTAATCATGCACTAGGCATTGCCGAGCCCTTGGTATGTCTTATTTTGGCTAAACCTCACATCCACTCTATGAATCATATCCTACTGTATTTTAGTAAATCTAAGACAGCATTGATATGTCACACCATTATTATTTTATGTACCACAACAGACAAAAATGCCACCAAAATAAACTCTTGACATGTCATCAGTTGTAATGATTGATGTCATCACCCCAATTTCAGAGGTGTTAAGGTTTGAAAACACCAGAGCATTAGATCTGAGGGAACATGCTAAGGTATTAGCGTGTCTATGGAGTTCAGATGTCAGCTATGGATTCCAGTTCTGCCGTCTACCAGGCAGGAGGCTTTGGTTTCATGACTATGTGGGTGCTGATACTAGCCACTCCCAGGGTAGCTGGGAGATCAGGGAACATCACCATGGGACTTTGGGATTTTGCCATTCCTTGCCTGTGAAGTGCTTCTGATCATGAGAACGTCAGTTTCCCACCTCCTGAGGCCCACCTGAGAACAAACCCCACTGAATGGGAAAGGGATGTGTGGTGTGTAGACTACACAGAAGGAAGAGCTTTCTTTCATTAGCCCCATATTCTAACCGAAGGACCTTCCCAGCATTTAATCTCTGTTCCTCCTTATTGTGGAGGGTGGGAAAGACAGGTGCCCTTAGCCATGTGCCCTCCCAGGACTGTGCCCCCAGTTTCAGGTCACTTGTCTGTCACAGCACACAGTAGGTGCTTGGTATTATGTGTCAAGTGAACGAGTGGTGCTTCCTGACAGGTTCCCAGAAGTTGCTCAATCTGTCCACTTCTGAAGTTGTTACAAGTGTACTGCCGGTCACCATAGGTGAGTGTCGCTGGGTACGAAGTGTCACAGAGAGTCGGGTGCATACGTACATTTGTGTGCGCGCGTGTCTGCCTGGGTGGGGCCTGACGGCTTGTCCTCCATCACCCACCTCCAGATGCTGGACTTGCCTCCCCCAGGCTCTCTGGGTCCCTTGCACTCCTCTCCCCTCCACTCCCTGCCTTATGAGCTGCACAGCTCCCTGAATCCTGATATTGCGTGGGCAGGAGTCCACTCCCCACTCTCCTGCGAGCTCCCACAGGGCAGGAGGATAGGGCTGGAGGGCCGAGCTGGTCCGACACTGGCCAGATGGGTGGGGACACTGAGGGTAACGGCCAGTGTGTTTATAAGGTTCCAGGTCCTGCCCCAGCACTTTGTGGACATTATTTCCTGACCCTTTAATCCTCTCGGCAGCCCCCTGGGGAGGTCTCATCATGACCCTTACACAGAGGAAGGAGGTCAGGCTCAGAGGGTGAAAGGCCAGCCAGCCAGTGTTGGCTGGAATTTGCATCCAAGGTTCTGAATTCCAGATCCACGCTCTATCTGCCAGCTGTGTGTAGCTTGGCCGGCTTAGGGGCAGACTCCTGGGGCTCAAATCCCAGCTGCGCAGCCCCCTATCTATTTAGCTGTGCGATGTTGGCTAGTTCTTAACCTCTCTTAGCCTCAGATCCCTTGATTAGAAAATGGGATTGATAACCATAGCGCCTCTCCTAGTATTGTTGGTAGTCCCCAACGAATTAATTTTTATAAAGCACCTAGAATAGGGATTAGTACACAGTAAGCACGGTCTGTGGATCAGCTATTCTTGTGACTAGTCCAGGCATGGAGCCCCCGGCATGTTCACTACTGGGGTGGTTCAGAGTTGCCTTCTCTGGGAAGCCAACCTTCATCTTTCCCTTAGAGAGTTAGGTGCCCCTGGCAGGGCCTCTTGCCCCCCAGATTCCCATCCACACCTCCACCACAGCGGGCATCTCTCTGATTGGATGGAGTCGACTTTTTGATTGCCCCACTAGGCAGAGACCCTGATGGCCTGCGACACTGTTGCCACACAGTGCGCGCTCAGTGATGGTTGAGCAGAGAGAGATCCCTGTGGGCTGCTGGCCAGGAGAAAGTTTCGCTCAGCCAGCTATTCATTCAAGATGCATTTCTTGAGCACCTACTACATACCGGGCATCTAAGAGCAGATGAGAGCTTTTTGAAAGGGCAGAGGAGGAGAGGTCCAAAGAAGAGTGGGTCAGCGACAGGCAGGTTGCAGAGGCAAGAAGGGCAAGGAGAAGCCTGTCCATTCCTGTCTCCCTGATTTGGGGTTCTTGCTTCCAGAGCCTTCTGTGACAGTGCAAATGGAGGGCTGGAAATCCCGGGAGCTAATGCTCCTCATCTCCTGCATCACTCTGGGAGCGCTCTTCCTTGGCTCGCTCATCATCATTATCGTCATCCTCTTGAAAGTCAAAGGAAAATACGGTAGGTGCAGAATTCTGGGAGCCACAGGGAAGGCCCAGGCATGGGGAGAAGCAGGCCTGAGGCGCAACCCACCCAGGGGGGCATGAGCTTCAGAGACCCCAGCAGGAGTAGCATCAACTCAGCAGTGGCCACCCAGCCCTGGACCCGGGAGCATCTCCTGATAGGAAGGATTTTCCCAGCATGCCCAGCAGAAGTGGACCAATTCAGGCTGCAAGAGAGGATCAGACTCTGTGTGTGTGTGTGTGTGTGTGTGTGTGTTTGGGCAGAGGGAAGTGAGGAGGGAAGTGTCTCGATGAGAACAGAGCCAGGCAGACTGGAAGGGGCCAGAAAACTGACTTAAGAATCTCTGCCTCCCCTCCCTCAGCCCTCCCTGCTACCGTGAACCACCAACACCTACCCAGCACCACCCCAGCAGGGATCAATAGCTATCAAGAGGTCCCCATCACCATCCCCAAAGAAGAAGGTAGGATGTGACCCGCCCTGGGGGTAGGGAGGGCTGGAGAGGACAGGAAGGGTGTACTTTCTAGAGGGTCATGTCAAAGCAGTGCCGCAGCCAGGGATGAGACCAGGGCCAGCCCACTGGAGGGGATGGGACCTTGAGCACATATCCCAGCCTGGGCTTTGACAGGCAGGTGAGCTTCCAGCGCAGTCACTCTAGGACCCTAGGCTTTCGAGTTCTAGACTAGTCCAGGCCCAGGGCGTTTTGGACCTTGCTCCCATGGGCAATCTCCGCTCTGCTGGTTGGCTAGGAGGTGGTGATCTCGTTGCCTGTTTCTGTGGCTTGCTCAGTCAGCCTCCCTGCAGAACCCCATCAGATTTTCCCAGAACATAATTTTATCTCATGTTTTCTGAATGCAAAAAATTGGATCATTCATCCACGTTTTATGACATATGGATTTATACCTCTGGAAACTCTTGTAAAGGAGTTGGAGTTTAATCACATTGCATTATGATTGTATTAAATCACCTTTATTTGAAAACCAATACAAAACTCAGGCAAACAGTATTAATATTCTCTGCAGTATCCATTTGAGAAGAGAATGGGAATCCAGAACTTAGAACAGGGCTGGGCACGGAGCAGCCCCCACTGAATGTGATGGTCTAGAGGTTAAGAGCCACCCTGCCTGCTTGTCTGGGTAAGGCGAGAACCTCTGTGCCTCAGTTTCCTCAGATATAAAATGGGGGCACTAATGTACCTACCTCACAAAGCTGTGATGAGTATTAAATGAGAGAATATTTGTAAGTGTTAGGCTAGCTCCTAGCATGCAGTGACTGCCATGTAAGTGTTTGTTACATAAGTAAATGCTATTTAGTTCCTCATGTTTGAAATGGATGGAAAGAGCTTGGAAAACCCAGGCTGGATGGTCTTGTACAAAATGGGCTGCCTGGCGCTCTCCTGCCTCTCTGTCTCCTGCCATCCACGCTGTCTACCCCTCTCCCTGTGCCCTTCTGCCCACCACTCTGCCATGCCCCCCGCTCTGTTCTCTCCCCAGTTCCCAAGCTGCCCATCCAGGTCTGGGCCCCACCCCCCGCGGACTCAGACTCCAGCTCGGACTCAGACTATGAGCACTATGACTTCAGCGCCCAGCCTCCTGTGGCCCTGACCACCTTCTACAGTGAGTGCCTGGGCCCAGCACCCAAGGGCCCTCTTGCCTGAACCAGGGAGAGGACCCAGCTGCCTGGGACCTTCAGAGGTTCCACCTGATGACCCCTGTACAACTAGGGTGACTCTCCCTTGTTCCACAGTTGATAGACTGCAAGTGGTCCCACACTGAAGTTTTCAAAGTGCTTTTCAACCCTGGAGGCATCTCCATGTCTCCAGGCATTGCCACTCTCCACCTCCTTCCCTCCCAAGTTTGCCTCTGGCCAACCAGGGTCTTAAGACCTATCCTTCAACACTCACCCAAAGGCGGTTGTAAGACATTAGGGAGTCAGGTGAGAGACAGTTCAGATGGCTCCCCGCATGCTCATACACTCTTTCTGTGCCCCTCCTCCCCATCAACCTCACCCCCCAACCTCCACTGTGAGCCCAGCTCCACCTGCTCTCTGGCTTCTCCCACTCTCCTCTCTGCCTTCTGGGGTGGCAGGGCCCATGTAAAGCTAGGAGGCTGAATGAGAGCAGAGAACCCCACACCTGTTGTGAAATCCCCTGGGAGCTTGTCGTAAATCCTAAGCCTCATCCTGCACCTGCTATATAAGTTAGGATGTCAGTTTGGCTGTGTGTGACAGAGACCCCCAAATCACAGTATCCTGAGACCTTGGCCGAGGCCCAGGCTCCTTCTCTCTTGCTGCTCTGCAGTCCACGTGGTCCAGAATGGCTCACCACCATGCCTATATCCCAGCTAGCAGGAAGGGGTTGGGAAGGTGGAGCATGCCCTCCCCTTAAGGCCAGAGGTGCCCATGTGGCACCTACTCAGGGTTCACCAGCCAGAATATAAACCCACCAGCTTCAAGAGAGACAGGGAGATGAAGCCTTTGTTCTGGGCCTCTTTGTGTCCAGATAAAGCCAGACGGTCTCCTGCTACAGGAGGGGGAATGGATATTGGGTACAGCCAGCCATCTCTGCCCCACCTGCTGACTCAGGGTCTCTGGGGGTGAGATGCAAATAATCCCACTTCTTCTGGTCCCTGCACCGGCGTTTGGGAGGCCCAGGAATGAGGTGCCCTTAGAACTGAGATCCTGAGCCCAGGCATGTAAGATACAAGACTGAGAGTCCAAAATCCTAGGACACTGAGTCTAAAAGTCAGTGGTATCAGGTTTGAAAGAGCTGACTCCAAGATTCCAGACACTGAGACCTTAAGATCCTACAAATCTGCATCTCCTTGATTCTGAAATGAAGGGGCCACAGGGCCTGCAATGCAAAGATCCCAGACCCTCCAGCTTACGCTCTGGGCAGGCTCCTCAAAGGGACAATGTCTGCCGTCTCCTGCCCAGATCTGCCAGAGCACAAGGAGAGGACCCAGGCCTCCAGATATTTCCTTAAGTAGAGGGAGGGGCCCCTGGGGACAAAGGGTGCAGGACACTAGGGTTTCTGGCCAGAAGCAGCCTGTCCCATGCTGGTTTCAGATCGATATTCAGGGTCTTCCTGGACTAGGATGTGAGCCTGGGATCTGATGGGGAAGGTGATGCTCTCCATACCCCGGGGTTGTCCTCCTGCCCTGTCCAGCTTCACGGGTCCAGGCTCTGGGGGACAGGGAGATGGAGCGTCCCCCCCCTCACCACACCTCTGCTTGCAGATTCCCAGCGACACCGAGTCACAGATGAAGAGGTCCGGCAGAACAGGTTCCAGATGCCCCCCCTGGAGGAAGGTGAGTCGGGCTGGGGAGGGGCATGGAGGGGCTGATGCCACCCTGCCTCCGGACTTAGCAGCTCAGCTCAGCTTACCCCGAAAAACTCCAGCAGCAGCCTCCCTCCACAGGCCCTTCCCGGCTTGCACAGTTCCTAGTGGGGTCAGTTCTTTGTTAAGTCTAATCTGAAGCCTTCTTTCCTCACTATCCTCCATTTCCTGGCCTGGGACTTGAAGAGGCGCAAGCCTCCCAGGTCCCACCTGTCAACCCTGGACACTGCATTGCAGATCCCCCCTCCCTGGGCCCTCAGCATCACCCAAGGAGCAACAGTGGGTCCAGTACATCGTCTGGGGAGGACTACTGCAATAGTCCCAGCAGCAGGCTCCATCCATGGAACCCTCAGGGCTTTTCTTCAGAGAAGAGCCCCTTCCTGGAGCAGCCCCCGAACTTGGAGCTGGCTGGCTCCCAGGGAACTTTTTCAGGTAAGCTAGGCCCCAGGGGATTGGGTATGGGCCCCAGCCTCCCATCCTGAGGCCAACCTGGCTGGAGAAAGCATAAGGCTCAGAGCCCTGAACTAGGCAGGCCGAGTTCAGGATTCGAGTTCAGGATTCGAGTACCAGCTCCACAGCTACTTGCTGTGTGACCTTGGACGAGTCTCCTTCCCTCTCTGGGCCTTCATTTTCTCATTTATAAAGCTAGAGGCTTGACTCAGTGGCAGTTTGTGACTGTCTCCAGGTAGAGGGTGACTGGTTCTGGGGTTTCCAGCAGGGCCCTCGGCTGATGACAGCTCCAGCACCTCTTCCGGGGAGTGGTACCAGAACTACCAGCCGCCGCCCCAGCCCCCTCCGGCGGAGCAGTTTGGGAGCCCAGGTGCCAGTGGCAGGGGAGGGGATTTTGGGAGGGGGGACAGAGAGGGACTGGGGAGTGGATGAGTGGGGGACATCTGGGTCTGTGGGATCCACCAGCCCATGGAGAAAAGAAGAGAGGTAAAGGGGTATTTTAAACCAGGAATCTGAGGAGGTAGGGAAAATAGAGGGGGAGGGGACAGAGGAGTCAAAGATGCTTTGAGGGGAAGTAAACTCCCCATTAGTGGAGACACTCAAGCGGAAGCAGCCGGGTGGCCCCATGGGGGAAATTGTGGTGGCAGGGGGACTTCAGACATCAGTCATCGTCCATCAGGTACAGTGCCAGCATGGGGACGACAGCCCTGAACTAAGATAAGGCTCTGCCCTCTGGGCTGACATTCTAGTGAGGGAGACGGCAGTGAGCAAGATGACAAGATGGGACTCTTGTCACACCTCACCCCACAGGATCATTGGGGGGGGTGGACACAGGCCACTCAGCTCTGTCCTGTGGGGCAGTGGGGACAATGATTGGGCCTCCCGCTGACCTGAGCCTCCCGACCACACAGGATCCCCCAGTCCCCGGCCTGATTCCACCGACAATGAAGACTATGATGACATCGGAGCAGCTTAGCTGGGGCCCTGCAAAGCTCCAGGTGGCTCCGTTCCATTGTACTCCCTGTCCTGCCTACTCCCCTGTCCTACCTACTCCCCTGTCCCACCCCGTCCTCCCTGATCGTGCCCCAGGGTGCTGAGAGGCCTCCCCTGGAGAGATGAAAGGAAACCCTGGACTTCTCGGTCTCCATCCATTAAACAGAACCTGCCGCACAGCCCTCTGCCAGCCCCAAACAGCAGCCCCAGGCCGAGGGCGCTGCCTCCGAGAGCTAGCGAGCTCTCTGTCTCAGGGATGGATAAGCCGTCTGGGCCACCTCTCAGCAGGCCGCACGGACGGGTTGAACTGGATGACTCCTGAGGCTCCTTCTGACCCTCAGGTGTCTGGTGCTTTGGTGCCCTGAGTCTCAGACAGCTCAGGGCCCAGAAGTAATGAGAGGGGCAGAAAGGGGCCCCATCCCCATGCTGCCCAGGAGGCTCCATGCGCAGGTGCTGTTGTGCTGCTGCTGCTGTGACAGGTGGATTCTGGCGCTGGGGGTGGCACACTGCCTCTCCAGGCTTCCAGCAGAGCAGGGAGTCCAGCATTCCTGGGCACAGCAGCTGATGGTGCCCGGGACAACTGCCCCATGCCCACTACCAAGGGACTCGGCCCTGAGGCCAGCCCTGCTTCTGGAGACCCTCGGAGCCCACCAGGGGCACAGCCCTGCTCTGCAGTGACTGTCCCTGCAACAGCAGATCCTTATTCTGAGCTTCTAACAGTTTACAAAGGTGGTCCAGCACAGACCCAGAGTTGGGGCCCAGTCTCTGAAGGGGCAGAAGCACAGAGATGTCTGCAGGAGGGGCCCAGAGGCTCGCTAAGCCCCAGGTGCCCATCTATCTGCTTGGGTTGATGGGAGCCTCCCAGATGAGCCTGTGAACATGCAGCGCCACACCCAGAGCCGTAGGCAGGAGAAGGCAGCCTCCGCACAGGCCCCGTCTGGCTCGGGCCAGCTTCTCCTCGGGGCCAGCTCCTCGGTGCACTGTTCTGAGCATCCTGGGATTAAACTGATCGCTGAATGAAACCAAGGCATAGAGTGACAAGTCCTTAAACTCAGAACCCATGTGTGTATGTGTGTATGTGTGTGTTGAGTGAGGGCGGCTCTATCCATTGAGCCAAACTGGAAAACCTACTGTGTCCTGGCGCCATGGAAAATGCTGGGGATACAGGGACAAGATACAGGACCTGCCCCCCTGGAGGAGGTGGGCACTGAGACAGCTGCCTGTGAGTTCCGCAGTCACCGAGCTCCCTGATCTGCCCTGCACCAGCCCTGGGGTAGTGGGGCTGGGGCTGCCTCACTGTATGAGTTCCGACCTGAGCCTCCCAAAGCTTCTCAGGCAGGGAAATGGGGGGGGGGTTATGCTCAGAGCTGCCTGGCAAAGAAATTGGTCCCAGGCCCAGAGGGGTTGGAGAAGATGCTGGTGGGTACGTGGGGGCTGTGGAGAGGGCTCATAAGAGGCTTTCCCCACCAACTCTGTCTTCGGGGGGGGGCTGGGGCCAGGTTTTCTCTGAGCCCCCCAGAGCAGGGGGTGGTAGAAGAGGCTGGGCAGTGGGTCCTGCTCTGGGGGGCTGAGCAGAGCCTATTTTCTGTTCACCTGTCCCAGAGGTGGAGAGAGGGCTGGCACTCCCCAGGGCAACCGTCACAGGATGTGGTTGCTGCTGTGATGGGCCCCTGTCCCCAGGCCCAGGGGGATTCCTAGGGGAGGAGCCAGAGCTGGGGTGGGTGGGGACAGACTTCCCACCCCAGTTTGTGAAAACCTTTCTTGTCAGACAGACTTCCTCCAAATCCCACTCCACCCTGTCCTGGCTGTGTGGTCTCAGGCAAGTCACTCAACATCTCTGAGCCTCTGCTGTGAAGCTTGTCTGTAAAGTGCTCACGGCAGTAGTGGGCACATCACACAGATGAGGGCAAGGGTTAGAGTGTTGGCAATGAATGTTCCCTCTCATTGGTAGATTAATCAATAGACGTAGAGAGCTCCTTGAAAGGAGAAAAGACAGCTGTTCATGCTGGGGGCGCTATGAGCAACTTGTCCCCCTCTCACTGGACAGACAAGGATGCTGAGGCCTGGCCGGGGAAAGGACTTGTCCAAGGTCACTCAGAGAGTCAATAGTCAAGTCATAATTGGGCCCCTACCCCACCCCACTCCACCCTCACCCCCCAGAAAGATGGTGACACCTCTTTTCCCCCAGAGCTCCCCCTCACTTCTCACCAAAGCCCCTTCTCCCATCTTTGCCTCCCACCACCACCAGTCCAAGGGAAACTGGGCTACTCTGAGACATGACTTCCTTGCCCCTTCCCAGCCCCTGGGCAGCCTGGGGGCACCAGGGTCACACATGGCAGGAGACATTCTGGGAGCTGGTGTCCAGAACCTGCCAGAGCTGGCCTCCTGGTGGGGTAATGGGGGCTGCCCACAGAGAGGCCCCCCTTAATGTTTGTGCCTCCAGGGGACTCAGACCATCCACCTGAGGGAAGTCACAAACAGAGCACGTGCTTTCAAGAGACCAGGGGATATAATAAGCCTCAAGGCTCTGGGAGAAGAACCCCCAGGATGTAAATGAAGGTGGCAGCTGAACCCCGATTTCAGAAACATCCACATGGGGAGGGGCTGTATCCGAGAGCGGAGACACTGCAGCACTTTCATGGCTGTGCATGCGCAGTGAGAGAGTGACACACAGGGAATGCATGGGGCCTAGGAGAGCCCCCGACCCAGCTGGAGAGAGGCCCTCTGGAGGGCTTCCTGGGGAGGTGATGCCTGAGCAGGGCTGTAAACGACGAGTAGGAGTTAGTTGCGGATGAAGAGAGGGAAGGGCAGTCCCAGTGGATGGGATGGCCTGAGCTAAGACAGAACAAGAAAACCAGTGGCTTGTGAGGTCCAAGGTGGCCCAGCCTAAGAGAAGAGGCAGAGGACAGTCCATTCTCAGACCAGCTATTTCCGAGGTGAGGAAATCGAGGCCCAAAGAGGTTAAGAGCCCAAGTCACACAGCTGAAAAGCATCGCGCCCCTCCTGGGCACGTTGCAGCGGCTGACTCATTAATGCTCACCCAGCCCGGGAGGCACTCCTGTTATCCCGCACTGGGGAGGGGATGAGGCTCGGGAGGACTCAGAGATTTTCCGGGGGCTGTGGGCCCTGCGCGGTGGGCGGCCCAGCTGCTTCTCCACGGGGCCCCACACTGAAGGCTGCAGGGTCCGCACCAAAGGCTCCTTTCTGTGCTTACTGATAGGCCTGCCGGTGGGGGACATCAAAACTGCTTCAGCCCCGCACAGTGTGTTGGCCTTGTCGACACCTGGGAGAGCAAAGGGCTGAGCCAGGCCCTGGGCAGAACTATCCACCGGGGTCCCCAGCTCCTGTCTGTCTCTGGGCTGCACAGACGTGGCTCTGAGGCCTCTCCCAGGAGCTCAGGCTGCAGGTTCCATGTCCTGGCAGAGCGTCACCTGCTGGCACCGGCCTTTTCCACTGGAAACCTCACGTCCGAGGCACACCTGCCAAGGCGCCACTCGGCTCCCATCCCTCCCTATCTCCCCACCTGGGGTCTCCACTTCGGGCCCTCCCTGAAGCCCTCGGGATGGTTCTGGGTTGGGGCGGGGAGGCTGGCGCCCCATGCGGCCGCTCGGTGTGGACCCTTCTCAGTCGCGGCCCCAGGCCCCCCGTCCTGGCTTCCCGAAGATGGAATGGAGGCCCCCACACAAGGAGGAGCAGGGGAGCCCCGTCAAGGAAGGACGGGTTCAAAGCCGCCTCAGTGGAAAGTTCATCCCCACCACATCCTTCAGCTGTTTACCAGTTTGACGGGTTCTGGCATCCTGACATGAAAAGAGGCTCACCCCTCGCCAGCATCATCGAGGAAGGACCAAAATAGCAACAGGGGAAGACAAAGAAGAGAGAGACAAAGGGAGAGGAGAGAGAGGCAGAGCAAGGAGACAGAGGAAAACAAGCGGGCCCTGCGTGTCTGCGCAGCCCCCGGGACGGCAGCAGCCCGCAAGGCCGCTGGGTCCCTCCCTCTGGGGACCGTCCTGAATCCCTCAGGGGTGCCGCCCCCTGACCCGCACACCCTCGGGGCAGTAAGGTGTCCTAGTCTCTGTTGTCTCCAAGCTAAGAAAAGGGAAGCCCAGAGAAGCCACAGAACTAGTTCAAGGACACCCAGCTAGGACCCTGGAAGCCAGACACACAGTAGGGCTCCGCAGAGCAGGCAGGAAGGAGGAAGGAAGGAGGTGGGAAGGGAGAAAGCTGGGGAGCTAGAAGGGGCGGAGGCCAAGGGAGAACGGGAGACTTCCTTTCTCGGGGAAGGATAACCTCCCAAGAGGGCCCAGCCCCTTCCAGCTCCCTTTCCCCGGCCCCCCACGTGCAGAAGGCAGAGAGGTAGCCAGCTCATCCCGCACCTCCAGCTATGGGGGACCCCCTTAGAACAGCGGGGACAGCCATCCAGGGGCAGAATAAAACTGAATTAAACCAGTATTTCCCAAACCTCGGTTTCTGTTTTTCCTGCGCACCGTTTGTTCTCTTGCCTGCTTAATAGTTTTTCTTTCAATGGATTCACGTTTTTCAAAACTTAACTTTATTGTAAAAGGAAACTTAAGCCATTTTACAAAGTATCTGCAATGTGCTCTTCAAAAATGCTAATATCACGAAACACAAAGACTCAAGAACTGTTTCAGATGAAAAGAACTAAAGAGCCACGGCCAGGGGTAATCCGGGATTTTCTTTTGCTGTGAAGGACACCGTGGGGACAGATGGCGAAAGGGGAATGAGGTCTGCAGATTAGATAACAGGACCGTGTCTGTGTTAACTCCCCGGTTTTGATAAGTGTACTGAAGCTATGTAAGAACACGTCTTGCTTTTAGGAAACACACATGAAGTATTCAGGGAGTGAAGGGACAACCTATTTTTTTATTTTTCACTTACAATTTACATTCAATATTATTGTGTATTAGTTTCAGACATACAGGGACAACCTATTTTTAAATACAGGATGTCCCCCAAAATGTATAC